CACTGCAGGATCGGCAGCAGCATGAGGAGGCGAGTGACCTCGTCATACCATGTTTAACCACCCCGCCCCGGCGACATAGCATCTCATCAGAACGTAGGAGCCCATCGTTATGGATCTGTGGGGAACTGTACAGGCTGTGCCGCTCAGCCAGGCTCCGTATTCGCATCACTACCTAATGTTTCCTTCAGAAGCTTCCTCGGCGTCCTCAGCCGAGGATATACAGAACAGTGAGCTCAACAAAGTAGCGACCGTTGCCTCGACTATGAGGTCCCATCATCTGCTCCGTGTATGGAGTTATGTCCCTGATGTGGCACCAATATTCTACCCGGACAACGTACGAAGGTGAGCACTCCTTTCTCGTGTGCTCATCGGAAGAGGTACTTGCTGACGCTCCCTCAGGCGTCAGCTCTCGGACTCTGAACTATTGGGCACCCCAATCGCCAAGAATATAACTCGACGCGTCCGTGCTTATACGGCCGATTCGATCAACGTAAGAACCGGTCGGTTCTCGCCGGTCCCTACTGAATGAATGCCATGATTCGTGGACTATCGTAGTAGCATAACAGGACCATGCGCCACCGCGAGTGGTCGCTGGTTCGATTCCTGGTGCTAGGCAATTCTCCCATCCTTGCTATCAGTAGTCCTCAGGCCGTCTTGAAGGTGGAGCCCGTCCTCGATAACCCAGGCGACTGGATGTGGTGGAGCCCCGCGGAAGGGACAGAAGGTGTTTCCTTTACCTCTAGCCATTATCGTGCCTCTCCATCCAGACCGCAGGTGGTAACAGAGGCTTCGTGGATCGAGTGGAGGAGCAACTCGAGCATGGCTACATCCCAGAGGCCCCCATTGTGACAGTCGATGACCTACAGGTGAGTACTAATAAGTTCACTCCTATTCACCTCGATCTTCGGTAGAATATACCAAGTCAGACTGAAATCGGCATTACCCCTATAGAGATGATAGCCCGGAGGGAGGAATTCATGGAGGCCGGTGGGATATGGTAACGCCACAAAGGTGAATATCACACTCATTCCCGAGCCGAGCACTAGGCTCTTCTCGTCTTGCTCCCGGCTCGGACTAGCCAGCGTTTGTCGGCCTAGTCTTCTGACCGCTCCGACACTTCACGTTAGTCGTCGATGAATAGTAGCCTCAGGTCGTCAATCTTCAATCTCACCACGGCTACCTTGGGCGCAGGAGTTCTGTCCCTACCTTATGCTTTCCGTAGCTCCGGCTACCTCGTGGCTTCCCTGTGTCTACTAGGCTGTGCCATTCTCTCGAACATAACCATCGGTTACATCCAGGTGGGTTAAACATCGATCCTTCTCCGGCTCTGTGCAGTGAGTATCAGGAGTGCATGGACGTCTCGAGATGCCAGACGTTTGAGAAGTTGGCTTTCAGCTGCAGTCCTAATCCAGTTTGGGGTCGAAGGTATCGCAGGGTGAGAACGCGGTCCTCTTTAGCTCTGTTTGGTGCCTCAGATTTGCCCTCTTCACCATCATCAGTGTCATAACCTTTTGTTTTGGTGCAGCTGTTGGTTACCTCATTACCATCGGACAGATAGGTGGGTCTCAATAGAGCAAGTCCAATGTCTAATCACGGCTTGCGAGACACTAATCATGTGGTATCCATATTCTAGCTTATACTATCGCCTGTGCACTGCTCTCCTTCCCACTACCTACCGCGGCCGAGAGTGCTCAGAGCTCGTCGGGCACTGATATCATGCTCTGTATACTGGTATTGGTGGTATTATACCCACTTTGCCTGGCCGAGAAAGTCAACGAGCTTCGAATTCTTAGCTTGATCGGTAAGCTCTGGAAGGGATTCACTTATGGGGTCTCAACGGTCTCTCTTGATGACCATTGTTGTCGATTATTTGTCTTCAGGCGTGGTGTCTGTATTCTTACTCGTTTTCGTTGTCATTTTTCAAGCGATCATGAGCGGGCATCAGGAGGAGCAGAGCATGCTGCCTCTGCTTCCGGCCTGTGGTTGGTCTGGTGTAAGCCACTGATCCCTGTCAGCTTGGAGCTCAGTTCCAGGACCTGTACTACTGTATAGATTGTTCGTACGATGTCCTTGGCAACCTTCGCCTTTGCATGTCAATCAAACGTTCCTGCGATATATGCGGAACTGAAAGAGTCCGAGACTCGAAGACTTTGCCGGGTATCAATATTGGGCTGGAGCCTCCATGATGCGTTCCGTTAGGCTACCAGAATGCGGTCAGTGTCCTTCTGGGCGGTTCTCATCTGCTTTGTTGTATACTATGGGGTGGGCTTTGCTGGCGTCTACACTTGGGGGTTCGACACCAAAGATAACATACTATATAATTACAATTTGCTGTTCAAAGATAGCATTGATGTGACCATAGCTTTCATTGGTAAGCGCCTTGCCATAGCCCTCGAGGAATGCCGTTGTCATCAGCGATGGCTATTTCCATCGCGACAGCGTATCCCCTCTGCATTTTCCCTGCGAGATTTGGACTGGAATCTGCTTTACTGGTAGGTGTTGGCAACGTTATATGTCCTGTGACCAACTCTGCGTATCAGGTTTTGTACCCGTCTCGATTTGACTCAGACGATAGCGGGCGGGCGAGCCCGGCTGTTGTGACGCTGCTAACTGCAATAACGGTGGGTTGACTCGCATTTCCTCCTCTGTGGAGATTACCGTCAGGTCCTTCTGTCGCTTGGATGTGCCGTATTGGCACCATCAATAGCACAGGTATTTGAGCTCGTAGGGAGCACCAGCGGTGCACTCACGTGTTTCATTCTACCATCGTATTTTTACGTCTGTTTAGTCACAGGTAATGTCGTCAGATGACAGCTCCTGACTGGTTGTGTCTTATTCCCCACAGATTAACTATATCAATCATTCCTATCATATTCGCTTTGAATTAGGTAACCAAATGACCCTGAAGACGTTCGAGGCCTGGAGTGTCATGCTCATCGGCGTCGTCTTTGTTTTCATCGGCACGGCCGTTGCAATCAAGGACATGAGCGAATGATGTATACTTTATTTAATGCAGGTTATCACCAACCTGAGATGTACGTTAATATATGATTTGGAGAGCACGTGTATTTCGAAGTACAGTTGGAGCTTGAGTTGTCACCTCATTTCATTTTCGAGTTCTGACTGTGACTGGCGTGTAATGGCTGTCATTCATTAATCGCGCTAAGCCTAGACTTTGCAACATCATAGTGCACACTTCGAAGTGGAGATGAGGCTGACGAATGAGTTGCCACTGCCTTTTCCAATGATGTATATCAGTATAGTATCTATCACTGATTAAACTGGAGTCAGGTTTGGTAGACAGTCATAATTA